ATTATTCCTTCCGATCTGGCCTCCCACCTCTACTCATCCCATATGGAATCAGGGTCTGAAGATCGCACTGGCTAAGGTTTAACATATTAACTTAAATCCCTGCGATAAACTGCTCCCCGGGTAAGAATTTAAAACAAGCGTATATAACAGGATTCATTGGTACAAACAAATTTCTAGACGGCTTTTCAACGGCTACCTGTCTTCGCATGTACTACACAACAGTTTATTTTGCACGGAAATCAATACGCAACAGCAAAGTCATTGTTCAACGCGACGAATGACCAGTAATAACCTTGTCTTTAACCTGGAATACAAAAATTAAAAGTGAGGAAGGAAAGATGGTAAAATGTAGATCTGCGATTACCAGAGCAGTTGGAGATTAACCACATGATCTAACTGCTTATATAGGTCGGGTTTCTCCTGCCGTATAAAGGATGCTTCTATGTAACAGAGGGTTAGATTGGTTCGTACCTGAACAAGCACTCGGAAAGATGTCTTGAATTCAACAGAGTGAATACTGTCAAGCAGATGCTTTGTGATGGAGGACCATGGTACTTGAAAAGCCAAGTAGGTACATACCCAACGACCCTGGCTGCCCTTGTCAGACGTCTTCCTCTTCACAGAGGATAATGGTTCAATCAGGCGCTCTGTTCTCTACAAAAATACCTGGAAAGGGTAATACCTACATTTTACCAGCTTTATGTCAATACAATGGAAACTGAGTCTAGTAATACTCTTCCAGAGAGCGAGGAATATTTGTTCCAGTGAAACCCTACTTGCGGAAACTCTCCGTATCAAAGAGGCCCTACTTAACCGTGGTTATCCTGCACGCTTCATTACAAAATAAAGCAGCTCTTTACGGCCAAAATTTGCGGAACAGTCCGTTATTATATCTGTATCCTTAAAGGATGATAATACTTCAAAAACAGCGATCGAGTCGCCTTCTTCTCAATTTCAAACACAATCTAGCGACGTTCGTACTGAACCATAGACGGAACGTATAATGCAGCTGAACTCATCTTCCTCAGTATCACCAAAAACCTTTCAATAAACCGAATAAAAGATGCCTTGCTTTCGCATGCCACCCCAAACTCTATGTAGAAATTCACGCGCACTTGCGGATGCAAGTACATTGGGTGCATGCAAAGACAATTGGCAGCCGGGGCCGTTGAGCCTTTACGTAATTGGCTTTTCAAGCAAGAAGATAAACTACCACGGTCTTCCATCACAAAACATCTGCCAGACAGTGGTCACTCTGTTGACCTCAAAACATCTTTCCGAGTACTTGTTCAGGCACGAACTAATTGGACCATGCGTTATACAGAAGCAGCCTATATGCGAGAGGAGAAACCTGACCTATATAAGCAGGTAGATCATGTGGCTAATCTCCAACTGCTCTGGTAATCGCATGCTTACATTTAAGCACCCTTCCTTCCCCACTTTTTCTTGTATTCCTGTTTAAAGACAACATTATTGCTGATGATTCATCGCGTTGAACATTGACCTCGCTGTTTTATCTTGCTTTCCACGAAAATTACAACTGTTATGAACTACATTCGTGTTTTATCTCATGCGAAGATGGGTACCTGTTGAAAAGCCATCTCGAAATTTGTTTGTACACATAAATCCTACTATATACGCTTGTTTTAAATTAGTACAGGATTCGCTATTAGACCATCTGCAGTAAGTGAAACTCCGCTTTCTTTATTGCTATAATCTCTGTGAAGGTCGAGTGCCAGGCTGAGCACTTACGGTGCACCACAAGATTCGATGACCAACCCACAACCCCACCCTCCCCTCTCTGGCTCTTGAGAGGGTGCAACGCCGCCTGAAGTTCACACATTCTACGCAGGCTGTGGGGCGCCCCCTCTCAATGAAATGATCGTGCAAGTGTGAAAATATGAGGCCATTTCAACGACCAGGGGCTCAAGTACATTGCGACAAAAGTTTCTGTCTTTGTCATGCTCACTCAGCTGCAGTATGCACGCCTCGGAGACGTGAAC